ACTAGCAAAGAATTCTGAGACAAAGCACATGATATGATGCAGGGGTAAAACCCCAAGTGTGTAGTATCCTGGAAGGCAAGTAACGAAAGTTTAGCAAGGCAGTGGAAGTGACGAATTATGACAAATACCGCTAATAGGCCAAGTAACATGTGTACTGAGAATAGACAACTGGAATTAGCAGTGTGGTCATCACTGATGTCCTTGGCAAACACAGTTTTGGTGAAATGGTAGAGGCAAAAATCTTGCTGGAATGGACCTAAGAAAGAATGGGAAGGAAGAGACATATTGGAAAACAGAGAACAGAGAAAACAATTTGTGAATTTTGCTACAAAGGAGTATAAGAAGTGGGGCATTAGCTGGTCGGGAGAGTGGCATTAAAAGTTTTTGTTTAGTCTTTTAAGATGGGGGAAAAACAGATATTAGCATGCTGATGGGAATGATTCCATAGAGACAAAAAAGTGAAAGATAATAAAGGAGAGGGAAGGCAGAATTGCTGAAGAGATGTCTTCGAGTAAAGGAAAAAGGATGAGGTTTAATGTATAAGTGAAATTACTGGCTTTAGATAGGAGAAGGTAAGAGAATGTAGAATATGTGGGTATTACGTTTATGTTTAGTGTGAGTTTGTGCAAGTTTTCCTTTGCTTCAGTTTTCTCAGTGAAGCAGGAACTGAGATCATCTGTTGGGAGTGAGGATGGAGCAAGAGATATTGGAAGGTTTGATAGGGGAATTCTTAGAAAGCCCCAGGATCTGCCTCCTTGGTGCCACATTTTGTGTAATTCTCTCCATTGGAATGTGGGTGGAAACTGTGATTTGATTCTAATCAACAGAATGTGGCAAAATGATGGAATGTCACTACTGTGATTATATATTGTATAGTAAAGGAGGTGAGAAGTCACACATGTGATTCAGTTCAATATGTAAGATTTCATCTTGCTAGCACACATGGGAGAAAGATTTTCCTGCTGGCTTTGCAAGATGTAAATAGCCATAGTGGAAAGTGCCTACTGTACTGAGGGTCATACTGCAGGGAACTTGGGCAGCCTCTTGTTGACAGACAGTAAGAAGTCAGGGCCCCTAAGTCATACAACTTCAAGGAACTGGATGCTGCCATCAACCTGTATCAACTTAAAAGCAGATTAGACTTCAGTCAAGCTTCTAGATGAGAATGCACTCCATCCGATATTTTGATTGCAGTTTTGTGAGACCAGGAGCAGAGAACTCGGCGAAGCAGTGCCTAGACTCTTGACCTATGGAAACTACAAGATAATAAATGGGTGCTGTCTGAGCCACTGTGTAACTTGTTACACAGCAACAGAAAGCTAATACAGAGGTTGAAAGAAGAGAACATATGAAATAGCCATCTAGAGAGTAAAAAAGTAAATGGGCTTATGACTATTTGAGAATTAAGGATTCATTTGAGATCTACAGTCATGAATTTAAAGAAAGACCAGTGGGTTTCATCTGTGTTTTCCTGTAACCATAGCAAAGGTGCTATACATGAGTTATCTGTTTTCATTTGTTTTATTATATTTTGAGATATGATTTCAAATTCATCAGTAAATGAGTGTCCATAAAGCAGATGTTTCTGCAATTGTTATTTTTCCTTTTTCTTTTCATGAAATTTAAGAAGAATCCTAGGTGAGCTAACCACCAGGAATCTAAAATTAAGGCTGGAATTTAATTTTTGGCACCAATGACTGATTAACAAAACCATTTTGTTGAATTTTGAAGTGAATAAAAAATTTATTATCAATAACTCAGAACTGATCAAACCTCTATTTTTTTATTTTGTCAAGTTTTTAAAACACACATTGCTTAAAGAATCTACTTCTATTTATTATATCTTTATATTTGCTTCATATTTAAAATTTCACCTGTTGGAAATCTCAAAGTTGCACTTTGCAATATGCAACACACACACAAAAAAGTGTAAGTTATAAAACTATTAGCCCTTATAACTTTTCTTTCTCAATAGGGAAATAATAGCAAGATGATTTATCACTGGAGAATGCATGACTTAGTATTCTCACTAGAGGAGAAAATAACTGTAGTGTAGTTTAAACTATCTTAAAAACCACACAGAGACTGATTACAGAAATATTTTGGAGTTAAAAAAGCAGGAACACTAGTATCTTAGAATCCTTTTTTAAAGATAAAACTCAGTTTTAATAAGCTGTATGCTGTTATTCACCATCTTAAAGAATACTCTTTCATATCACTTGAAAGATATTTCATAAAAAAATAAACATAACCTAACATTTAAGGTGAATATTACATTCTAGATACTGTACTATTTATTAACAATGAATTTCTTTCTTTCTTCAACCCTTTGAGGTGCTATAATTATCTGAATTGCACAAAAGGGGAAACTGAAGCCTAATTTACTCAGCAAGTAAGTGGCAGAACAAGGATTTGATCATACACAATTTGGTGCTAGTCTTGACTTTTAACCACCATTCTGTAAGACTTCTCAATTTTCAGGGGGGAAATTATTATAGACCCACAACACTGTGGTTACAGTCTGCCAGTCTGACCTGTGGAAATAGTCTGATCTGTAGAAACATGAGGGTAGAAAATTAAAATTTAGTAGGTACTGAAACACGTAATCATTATTAAAAGAGAAGATTTTTAAATGTTGAAATTGCAATAAAACTTACTCTTTGGTGTATTTTCTGTGCTTTTTACTTTTGGATTTTCTGAATATTAATAGTCCCTTAGATGTTTTTATCACATTAGTTTGTAACATAGACAAACTATTTATTCTGAAAATAGACTCAATTATAACTCACTTAGCTATTACGGATGAAATTAACACAAATAGTTGACTGGATGCATTTTACATTGGTTTATAAAAATTTACAAGGAAAAAGTTTATAGTTGGTTGCTTTTAACAGCAGAGGGTATCCTATTAGCTGCAACACATAAAAAAATTACTTATAGGTTTAAAAGTTCACTTTAATTATGAAGATTTTAAGATTATCATACTAGAACCCATTTTTCTATCTATATACCCTTAAAGATCTAAGCTAATCTAGTGGAGTTGAAACTATTGGGAAATACCGAGGGAGCACAATGAGTACAAACTACTAATAACATAAGAATGGACGATGACTAAAATTCCAATATTTAAGAATTCTGTTTTGTTCTTCTTTTATATCTTGCCTTCTGCTATCCAGGAGATACTATGCTTGTTTGTATAAAAACAGAAGAAACCAGAATATAAATAAAATATATTTAACAGAGTATAGTAGACAAAGTACAAAACCACAATGAATTATTATTTCAAATTAGGAAAATATTAGAATTGGTAGAGGTGGATATAGTAATATATCTGGAGGGTAAAAATATTAGTAAACTTCAATATATAAATGAGCCTTTAAAGAAATCAATTAATAAAAATTCACATGTTCATATAAAAAAAAGAAAGTATAAATCTAACATCAAAGACAAAACTATTGAGATAGTTTTTCTTTCCAGATCCAGGATTTTTTACTTTATACACTGAGAAAAACCGTTAGTTTTGTTTGTATTGCTGTTGTTCTCATTTGTCTTTTGTTTGAAAAATAAAGAATGATAAAATACAAGAGAAACACTAGAAAAAAAAAGTCAGTTGTTCCAATAGTTTTCTATATCACATAAAGTTCATGTAAGAAATAAGGCATAGAGAGTGCAAATGTATAAACACCTTTTTAACTTCATGCATCAATATTACAAGCTTTGTTCTCACATTTATTTCATATCATTTCCTTCAAAGGGAAGTGCTGGGTTTCATCACTAGAGATGTGTATTATTTTAACCAATTTATTGGGGCTAAAATGTGAGTATTATAGTTTTTTTTCTAAAGGGAATGCTACTGTATAAAATGAAAATCAAGCTCCTACTATAGAATAAAATAGCACTCTACATTGGTTTTGCTTCCAGTTATTGTTTTAAAATTTTTCCTGAGGTTGCAAAAGTATTAGAATTGGCAAATGAGCAAAATTATTCTGATAGATTAGATTACATGCAAAGGGCACACTTAATATAGTTAGCAAATATAGTTCAAAGTTAATTTATTAGTCAACTATATGAAAAATATATTAAAAAGATAAGCTTTCATTTAATATTTGAATAATCCCATAAGGCCTTGTATTAGTAAAAAAGTAGAAATATTAAAAAAATAACATCTCTCACCTAAATGAAGCTCAACTCAGACAAAATGAAAATGTGTTTAATCATTTTAATGAATATATTTTTCAACATTTGTCAAGTACATTAGGCTCTGGATTACATATAAATATTTTAGATGATTTACTTAAATGTGCCAAAAATAACTACATTTTTGAAAAATGACCTACAAATATTCAGTAGCAAAACAATCATCAAAAACATAAGTTTCATATTTCTAATTGCAAAGTGTGCCACTCCACCAAAGAAAACACTAGTATTAAATTAGAAGAAAATACCATTTCCTGAGTTGTTAAACAGCATTAAAATTATCACAAACACCAATTTTCAGTTACTTTCAGATTGCTAGAAATGTTTTTCATTGAAAGTTGAAAATCGTTTACATAGTAAGGCATGTCTAAAATAAAAAACAAATGAAAATGCATTCACTTTTAAAGATATACCTTTGCTCAATAAGTCATATTTATACATTTATTTTTTACATATATGACATTCTTAATATATATACCAATAATCCTAGGAAGAAACAATAATGAAGATTATAAACAGTGACTCAATAAAAAACCCACAGAGCTCCATTAAGTCATAATTTTAAGGGAAAAATCCAAAATTCTTGTAGTCTACCATGTGAATATATTTTTGTTATCTAAAGTAAAAAATGCATATAAAGGTTCAGGAATAATGGATATTTCTTTCTCAGGTTACTTGGAATCTGATCATGGTGCACATATGTGAATGAACGAATACATCCTTAACCCACCATTATCTTTTTCTCCAGTGTGCAGGCAATCACCCGTGAAAAGTATGGTGTAGATGACAGGATGATACTGTACCTGATTAGCTCTGGAGGTGGTCATGGGATCAGATGGAGAGGACTTGGTGGTAGTTGGGGAAGATGGCAATGTCTGGGAACAAAGCAGTTCAGGAGCAAATCAACCTTTAAAAGCCTTAAACTGATTATTTAAATAAAACAAAATAAAATAAAATGTAATATAACGAGAACAAAATCCTATGAACAAATTTTTCTCCTATTCATTCAAATTTAATGGAATTTAAGATCAATTAAGTAACTAATGCATGTAAATATGCATGCATAAGCATGTAAAAATAAATTCATGACTTGAAATCATGATGGTGACTGATAAAAATTCACATGAGTATTAAAGGTATCCTGACCATATTCATGAATAGTAGTCTCTTTTCTTTCCCTCTTGTTTGCTTGGGGGAAAAGAGATGTCAAACAAAAATTCAAGAAAGTCAATGAGTAAAACCGAAAGAGTTACTTTCCTATCAATGAATACAGTCGGGGATTGGAAGAAGTGGTGAAATGAAGTTTACTTTGGCATAAAAGCATCTACCTACTTAATATGTTGAACATCACCAACAAGTTGATTCCATATGAATTTAGGGATCCATACTTAAAAGCAACTAAATTTGTACTTCTGAGTTCTTAATATCAGATTATCTTCTAAAATATTAATTTTTAATAAATTTAGAGCCCATCTGAAAATGTAAACATCAACCTCATATTAATAAACAAGTAACTAATAGCATTTTAACAAATTGCTATAATATCTTTATCATTTATGTTCAAGACTAAAAACTTAATATAGATGTATTGTAGCATCATCAGCCTGTGGTGAAAATAAGCACAAAAATATTAGGAATCATATTTATTGTTCACTTCATTCCTAAACACTTATACATACTATATATAAAATATATAGTATGAGAACATAAAATACTTGTTGAACAATACATTAATATTTTTTAAAAACTTCAAGTCTAATGGAATAACCTTAAAGTGTAAGATGTCAAGCCTTTTTCTTTTTAAAAAAATGTATTTTCACTTTTTTAGTGAACAGCATTGCTTAAGAAGCATCCTCAATAGATAACATTTCCTAATAGGTGAAATGGGGTAGTTTTATAGTATAGACATAATTCTTTGTGGACATTATGTTTTATATTAATACATATGCATCACAATTACTCAGATATGAGCAAAAGCATAACTTTAAAGGTTCAGCAGTGTCAGAAAAAACAGATAAAATTACTTAACAAAATCATATTTCTTCATTTAAGATTTCGAAAGTTCTAATTTGGGTAGAACAAAGCAGTTGATCATAAAAAGAAAAAATAGGAAATTCACAGGCTTCTGCTTAACTACTATTCTCCAGTAACAAAGTAAAGATTGGTTCTAACATCAAATCATGTTTTAAATAGTCCACTCTTCAAGTGATTCCTGGTTCTTCTAAGTTAAAACCTAAGATACTTTGAGGAAAACCAGACTTAATATTGACTTATACCAAGGTTTTTTTTGTTAAATCATATTTAAAAAGGGGACAGGAACTACATTCAGAAATGAAACCTCATAAAAGAAGAAAATACATCTTCAAAACCTTTGTTTTCTGTTTTCATTCCTTGTAATAAATTCCTGTCATTTCTCCAGAGAGACTTTCATTTTCAGTTATTAAAAATTGCTCTACTATTTTCTTTTCATGCAATACTATCCTGGAACACATATTATTGACATGATGCTACTATATGTTAAACAGTGAAAATTTTATTTTCCCATCTCTGGTTACAAGTGTTATTACAGAGAATTCTTGGGAGTAATTAACATACTTAAAAATCTGTTCTGTACTTATCTCAGATTAATTCTGAGGTTGCTGATGAAATAGATGTGAAATAAATCTAGAGGCCAATTCTGTCAAAACAGGTTAGAATTTAAGTTCATTAACATACAGAAGCACTAAGTATGTATTGGGTTCTTCTATTTCCATCAGGGTAAAATCAACCTGAAGTACCAGAGGTTCACTATGACATCCACCTTACCCTGGCTATGAAGTCTCAATAAGGTACTGAAACACTGTAAAGAACAATGTGGAAAAAGTAGTAATAGCAAGTGGCTCAGAATTTGTAGTCACTTCAATTAATATTATCGTCCATCAACTTATTCAATACCTTTTTTGTTGCTTGGCATATATATGAAATATTAGACATATATTATTAGTAACTGATACAATTCATAGTCATCAACATTATCCTTAATAATTCTGATGCTATTTCTTTCTCATAGAAACAAAAACAGTAACTTTAAACTTTGGGAAAAATATTAATGTGTTTAAATCATTAAAAGTTTGGTTATTAAACATCATCATCTGATAAGAAGTTAAAGTTTAGTATTTTAAATAAACAGGTGAAAATTATATAAGTTTGAGCTTGAAGGGATAAGATTGTCAAAATGTCACAATAAATCATCTCTAAATAGATTTTCTTCACTTAAATTTCTAAAATAATGTTACATAATGAAATAAACACATGATGAGTTTTGTAGCTATTATTCATAAAGATACTTTAAACACAAAAAGTCTCCTCCCTTTACAAATTTAACTTATAACAATAAAAAGATTCCAGGAAGTTTGCACTTTTGGTAGATTTTTTAGCTACAAAAAAATTGTTCTAACAAACAGATAAATGTATTAAAATAATACCTCTCATTTAAAATGTTTATTAATTAGATTAATGAAACAGCTTTAATAGTTTTCTCAACAAAAATAGAACCGAAGAATCCATAAGAAATATTTCAATTTCAACATAAATGTACAATGTTTGTTTCCCTATTGTTTTATAAACAAAGTGTTCACTCCTACTTACTACACAGATTTAAAGTTTCATGGTTTCAGAGTTAAAAATCATTTAGTAAAATTCCTGTCACACATCATGAAGATGTAACTAACTGTATATCCATATAAGCAAAGTATGTTAAAATATTTGTTATAAATAACACTTACAAAGGACACTTCTGTCTCTAATTTTTTTTTTTTACATTTATCAAATAGTGATTGTGAGGGACAGTCATTTTTTAGCACAATTTTATCTTTCAAATGGAAAAATATAACATTTTTATTTACATGAATTGAGTAGCCGTTTAAGAAGTCTGCTTTAAAGATTGGAGGCTGAATTACGTATTGCAGAAAATTTTAAAGTATTTGACAATTTCAAAACAGTGGATCCTTTGAAACAGTTTTCAAATATTCATGAGTTAACAACAGACATTTAGTTAAGTGTAGATATAACTAGGTTTCTGGGAATAAGAACTAAAAAAGTGACTACAAATTGTAAAATGCATTCTTGTTAACAAGTGACAGTTTTGCTGGATCAGAAAATATTACTATAAATGAACTCTGTAATATATGCAGCTTACCTCCAAGCAAATCTACAGTAACAGACTGTCAAGAACCTCTGATAGTTATAGGTAAATTGAGAACAGCAATGAACAAGAAGTCTCAATTGTAATTCAAAACCTATTACTAGCTGAGTAGTATTACTCAAGTAGTCACCTTCCCTGTGTTTCCAGTTCTGTTAAATAAATCTGTACAGTGCTCTATAAAAAATGGATAAAGTATGTGAATATGTAATTGTAATCTCTGGCTTTTCATCATGACAAGTTTCTTTCCTCCCTTCTTCCAATGTCTGAACAATCTGGAAGCCCTCAGCTCTAATATAAATTCATATTGTCAAAGTTACACAGGTCTTTCAGAATTTATTCCTATCCCATAGCTTATTTTCCTCATAATTTGTTATTCCACACCATTATCCTTCTCTTCAATCATTCAATACCATGTATTTTACTTATCTTTCAATTTATGGTCTTTGTTATTTGAAAAAAATCATGATTTTCCAGAATGAACTCCTTATTTACTACAATTGACTATGTCTGAACTTTTTCCTTTCCAAACCACCTTTTTTTTTACATCTTCCTCTTCTTTTCATTATAGACAAAATTGTGACCTCCTACTCAGACCTCCTCCCCTGAATACCCTAAATGTTAACTTTCCCCTATTGCTGAGTCATCTTGTCCCCTCAATAATCTCATCTCCAATTTCTCTGCCTTTTCAAGCTCTTGTTTATTTTCTTTAACATCAGCCTCTTGAGTAGAGAGAGGGGTTACATGAGTCTCCCTTATCTCACTTGTATTTTACTCCTTTGTATACCCAAAATTTCAAATCAGCATTTCTAACCTCCACACCATTTTTTCTCTTTACCTACCCAGCCACTATACTTTTAGGAAATAATATGAGTAGGAAATAATGACTGTTCTCACCATGTGATTAAAACTAAACTTTAAATCTCCAATAATCTCCTATTGAAATCTTTTTTTTTTTAAATTTTTTCTGGGTATTGGATCATTTTGAGCTTCTTTCCTTATACTTTCCCTCCTTATTTTATCGTAGGGAATATTACTGATCTCCCTTTTATCTTGATGATTAATAGAGCACTTACTAGGAACCAGGTATAGTTCTACTCGGTTAATACAATACCCCTATGAAATAGACTACTATTACTAACCCCATGTTATGAGTAAAGAAGTTGAGGTACAGTGAAGCAAAACAACTCACCCAAAGGTACAATCGCTGGTAAATTAAAGAGCCAGGAATTGAACCTGGGCACACCTGCTCCGGCTCCTATGGGCTTAACTACTACGTTACAATGCCTCTGACTTACTTTTTCTCTTGTTTCTTTATCTCATTTTTTGCTCCTTTTTTTCTCTAGTACAATAAAGATGGTAAGTGAAATTATCACCTATGATGCAATTAAGGATCTGTATTTTCAGTTTTACATTCTCACCTGTGTTTCTATTAAAGACTACTTCAAGAGAAAAGCATACAACTTACAACTTATTGAATTTGCCTACAACAAACAAAAATATTATTTCAAACAGTTGCCTACAATTCATTAATTGCTTTTTAGGCTTCACTATTCTGCTAGGCTCAAAACCATATATAATCATTTTTTATTCTTTTCTTACCATTTTGGAACTAGAACAAATCATTCTCAGAGGCTCACAGATTTTACTTTGACATTTCTTTTAACATCATGCATTTGCCTCAGCTTCACTACC